ATGACAACAACCCGACAGGTTGTCACTCTCGCTAGTTGCGGGCCCTCTCCCTATTAAAAAGGGGTGGGGTCAAAATATTTTTGGGGCGGAGTTTCCCCTCAATTAAACGCGCATGATTGGACCCAGGTTGAAATCTCTTGTCCCCAAGGAAGAGAGCGAGGAGACACGAGGGGGATTTAAGCGCAGGATTTTGCCCTGCTAGGCAGACTAGTCGCTGACCAAGATGGTGTAGAAACAGATCAACAAGCATCTCTTCTAGAAGTTTTTAGTGTGGCTCTGTATCGGCTGGCCACCTAAACTTAGCCGTTCGTCTAGCTGTGACGCGATATTAACGTCCGCAACGTAGACATCGGAACTTCGCCTCGAGTTAGCTCAACCTGCTCGAAGTCACCTGCAAGCACTAGCCTCCCGGAGCCACCAGCGTTGCAACACCGCCGACATCGCAGTCGTGCCAGAACTCTCTTCGACTTCTCGCATCCGATCGTCGGGGACACAACGCTGCCGGTCATCACACGTATGCCTTCACCTGTTTATATCTTCGAACTTTCTCCTCCGTCGTTCTATTCTTGTTAGTTTGTGTAGTTTGTAATAGTTCTCTCTCGTAAGCTGATTTATTGTTTCTGTTATATATTTCTGTAGTTGTATCAAGTGTCGATGTATTTTGTTAGTTGTATTGAAGTGTTGTATTAGATCCCGTGTGCTGCCATATCACTAGAGTAAAGTTTGTTTTGTTTTCTCACGTCTCTGATCTCTTCACTGTCTCTGCTTGCGTACGGAACGAACCGACCTGCTGTCATTCCCGTCGCCGACTTCGCGCTGGCGACGCTAGAGTGGCAGCTTGTAACAGCCACATTGAGAGTTTTTTGCCCCATAGGCAGTCTACAAGTTATGTAGCAACAGCGACTCGGAAAGCTGCATACAATGTGAGCTTTGTAGGCTCACGCGAATATTCGAATCCTTCAATTATTTGAACAAATACTAATGTATTAAAATTTAAATTATTGGAAATTTCGAAATGAAGAATCAAACAAGTTTTTCTCTGCATGAAACGCACTGCAAAGGTCGTTTCCCTGAAGTGAAAAAATACTATACCATAAAAACACTTGCGTAGGGGAAATCCATACTGTCCCAAGTCCCCACTTCAAGGTTAAATGAACATGTTACTGCCACATCGATCCATCATTTCTTCATTAAAAGCTTGTTATACCGGTTTACAAGTTCCAAGTATATTAAATTTTGTTATGCAACATGGTTTAGTGGTTATCACTTGCATTCTACCGAAAGTCAGACCCTGCTACTATTGAAAGTTGCTTCCACTTCTTTTGAACCAAGTAGAACGACATTTGTACATGCCTTGTTTAAATTAAAAAAAAATGTTGTGGAGGTTAATTGGATCATAACAAATATGCTGATCTTCTTTTATAAAATGTGATTACACTATTCAAATAAAATTCAAAATTATTCAACCAAATAATTATTCGTTTCAAATTTGCTTCGAACTTGAAATTTGCTATTCGCACCAGCCTGGAGTTTTGTAATACTTATGATGTAAGGATACGGATGTCCGATTGAGCTCTATTATTTCTTTCTTTTCTTTTTGCCACTTGTCCCAAGTAACTGTTCTCAGCACACTGTTTTCAGCTATATCATTCTGATAAAGTGTAGATAGTGCATATGTGATACCAAAATGGGTGGTTTCCAAGGAGCCTGACTACGCAGGGCAAAGGCCTTTCCCATGTACCGCGAAGTGACCCGGTCTTGTGCTTTCTTCTTCCACTTGATACTTGCAAACTTTTTAATCTCATCGGCCCACCTAACTTTGTCTCCCCCTCGTGCGTTAGCCTTCTCTGGGAATCCAGTCAGTTACCCTAAATGAACTGCGATTATCCTTCCTACACGCTACGTGCCCAACCCATGTCTCTTTCGTCTTCTTGATTTCAACTACGATATCCTTAACCCCACCTTATACCCTGACCCACTCTGATCTCTTCCCGTCTCCAAGGTTACAGTGATCGTTTTCCTTTCTATCGCTCACTGCGTAGTCCTCAATTTAAGCTGAACCCTTTTTGTAAGCCGCCAGGTTTCTGCTCCATAGGCAAGTACTGGCAAAATGCAGCTGTTTTATACCTTCCTCTTAAGGGTTAGTGGTAGATTACCATTCATGATTTGAGAATGCTTTACGAATGTGAACTATCCGAATCCTTATTTTTCTAGTTACTTCACTCTCATGGTTCAGTTCAGCGGTTGCTACCTGTCCTAAGTAGACATTATCCTTTACAACTTCCAGCATCTCTCCAGCTATCGCAAAGTGATATGTTCCGTCAAGACTTTTACACATTAGTTTTATGCATATTAATTTTCAGACCTACTCCTTTGCTTTCCGTGTCCAGTTCTGTAACATTTATCTACTTTTGCAAACCCTCCCCATGTGTGCCAGGCATTCTGCCAAATGAACTTGAAATTTCATCACAAGGGATTCTTTGGTTATGCCAGCAATGACCATTATAGGGAGTGTTACCTGTAAATTGGTTCAAGTCTCAACACTACTAGTTCCTCTCTACAAAATCTTACCTCATATAATAATCGCACCCCCCCCCCCCCCCCCGGTCTGCATGCACTATTTATGGGAAGAAAGCGTAAGCATGATGTGGGTAAACACATAGTAATAGAGTGAACTCCCTTTAAGACGTACTTTAAGAATTTTCGCTTAAGACGAACAACACGGGAGTGTTTCTTTGGTTTCCCATAGACTCAATGCAAGAAAAATCTGCTGAAGATGAACTGCGTAACAGCCCTCTTCTGTTAAGACCAACTCTCACAGCGACCAACAACGACGAACGACGGGGATTCTGCACAATGAACATCATAGTCTTGAGGGGGCATCCAGGCAAACAAGAGAAAGCAAAAACAAAAGAACATCCTGGTGCGAAAACTCAAAGGATACCGAAAGATAACTGCCATGTTGACTGGTAAAGCGAGATAACTGGAAGAGAAAGGTCAGCGCATAAAGCTGGTATCTCCTTCACTGCTAGCCTGTAAGTGGAGAAAGAGCCGGCTTTAAGCAGAGAAACCAACAAAAAGCGTTCATCCTTTCGTATTCTCCTCGCATTCTTCAGTTGACAACAGAAGAACACAGGAGCTTGGCTAGAGGGGAAAATGCAACGAAAAGGGGGGTGAAAAAAAGCTAAGTGAAAGTAAAAACGGGAGTGAATATTACCTGTACATCATAATCACATGAAACGGAAACCACATATGTGGCACTATTATAGTACTCCCATCAGAGGAGTCAAACGCATTCTTAATGTCATCAGACAATGGCGCCGAGCCTATGTTTGGGTCAGTTTGCATTGTTTTGCATTGGGCCTGTGCGCATCATATCTGCTCCCAGCGAAATTCCGCAAACTGTGATGCACCATTTTCATTATGAAAGTGCACGACAAAAGAAGGTCATTTTGCACACTAAATATAGATGCGATGTGTCTTTTTTGTGTGGCCGAGGCTTGTCATCGTGAGTAGTGTAAATGGAGATCTTCGGCTGCATGTTGTTCAGAAAAGTTACTGCCAGCTGAAAATTGAAAAATATCCAAACCTAAAAAAAAAACTTGCAGACTTTAATAAGCAACTTGGCGTATATTACCTTTGTCAAGGTCGCAATATGCAATGGAAGCGTATCCAAAAGTGATAGCAAATCCAGTAAAACAGCATCTTGAAAGGTGACCAGCCAGAAGGATAAATTTTCCATTCTTTGAAGAAAAATTGTGCTTGTCCTTCCCTTTATATCTTTTTCAAGTCTACAAAACAGTGTTGTGCTACAGTTTTATTGTTAAAATGTGGTACAATTTATTCCTGAGCATAATTATTATGAACTTGTGAAATCGAGTACTCGTTAGAATAGAGTACTCATTAGAATACTCTAGTTGACGGCATTGTTTTTATCAAGCTGAGCCAAATGAATGCTTTTTCTTACACCTTTCCTTCACATTGTAACGATATACTTCATTCAGTGCTTTCAAGCAACATATGTAGGTGTACTTAGCATGTTAGCATTTGGTTTTTGGGGGCACTTCTGGTAAGACCAACTCCTGATAAGACGAACAAATGATCGTGGTCCCTTGCAGTTCGCCTTTAAGGGAGTCTACTGTATACCACTGCAAAAACCAGTATGTAGGTCAAGCTGAAACATAGCTCTCAAGCAGGGCTCAAGCCCAGCATGAGACAGGGCTCGAACTCTATCTTTTTGAAACTTTGCAATCTATTAGAAAGCATTTGAAATGTGCGCTCATAGGTCTTAAGCCCAAAGGCATATGTTAACGAAACACCTTTAATCTGGATTTCATTTTACTTGGAGGTCACCCACAGTTACCACGAACACAGCTCTAGTGCAAACGCCACAACATTCTTGATTGCTACATGTCTTGATTCCATTCTTTTGCATAATCCACCAGAGAAGGCTTCCCTTAGACACTTCAAACTCACAATGTGCAGCCAGATTCCCGCGTGCCTTTGTGAACTTGATCGCTGTTTTATTATACGCTATAATGAACAGTCGTTAGCCTCCTCTCCTTTTCCCAGAAATGTAAAAGCATGCAGCTCGGAGCTGAAATAGGTTGACAGGAGAACAATGAAAACACACGATGGGGCCACGCTATGCCACAAGGCTAGTAGTAAATATAACAACACTGATGGTTGTCATATAACCAAGAACAGTCTATAGTTCCAAGACATCCAAAGCTGTCCTGCCAGCAACAAGTATACAAGATAGGGCCATAGTTTATATCATGTTTTGTTTTGCTATCTATAGCCTGGTTTGTATTATAAATGTGTGATGCACTGAATGATCAGGTGTTTGCTGAGCAAGCATGACATAGTTCCTGCAGTAGCTTGAGCTCGCTACAAAACATTTTCAGCAAAGGGAACCAGTCAACAAAACACACCCATGCAAACATTGCCTGACAGACATGCTCTTTGAGCTTGAGGACATGCAAGTGATGACTGATTACCTTTCCTTTCTGTATTTGGGCCTTATTTTCCCTTTTGTATTGCTCAACTTTCCGTCGTGTGGCCTCGACATCGATTTCATTGGCAAGGTTGTAAATTATGGTTTCAACTTCCTCAAGGTAGTCGTTGTAAGCCCGCAGTGTCTCGAAGTCCTCCTCACGCTTGTTGTAGTCCTGAAAAACCAAATTAAGAGCATCACATATTAATGACATCAAAAGTGTTAGAGAACACCATTTTAGCCTTTTACTTCAAGACAACAGAGTTCAAAAGTCAAACTAAACACAAAGAGAAAATGTACTTCAACGACAAAATTTACCGAAATGCAACACAAGTCCTCACAAGTAAAGACTAAATTCTATCATATTATTATACTTAGATCATTTCTTTGTTTTTAGCACAGTTAGTGCTGTAGAGTAGGGTGCTGATGATTAAATTATGAAAAGCTCTTCAAAATAAATGAAAGTAGCAAACAAAGTTTACTTATACAACTTACTCTCCCAGTTCAGATTACATGGAGGTCTAGCCTACGAAAACACTGACAGCCACATAAATTAATGAAGGAATGTGGTTATATATCATATATATATCATATCAATAAAAAATAAGGAATGTAGTTTCATAGCTAGTTAGTCGGCATGGGTTTATTGTCCTCACTTTCACAGTACACATGACTGAAGCCTAGCACACTATATTACAGCATTAACATGACTTAGCTTTGTATTAGTGCGGCATATATAAAAAATAGACATGACACAGACTTATTAAAGAGAAAGGTTGGCGCTAATGTGTCAAGCTAATACTAGCTAACTTCATGGCTGACCAATTTGCCCGTGCTTCAACAGTTCTTATTAATGAGACATAAGCCCTCTTTACGATTGCTGATGAGTACATATATGAAATATTGTACCAATGTAACCAATAATCACTACAGTCATCAAGAACAAACATTTGTCACACAGTGAATTTATGCTGACTATACCTGTCCTATTGCATATAGTACTATCGAATCCCTTTAAGACACTGATGATAAGGGACACCAGTGTGCCTGCTTTGAAGTAGAGGTTGATAAGAGAATGCATATGTGGTAACCTGCTTATAAAGACACCTCATGTAAACGACAAAAATTGCTCCCAAGTGCGTGTCTCTTAGATAAGGGTTAAACTTAGTGGTAATTCCTTACACCAGATGGACACATGCATCTGTCTATGTTGTGCCATTTGGGTCTCACCTTCTCTTACATTGCCACCTTTCAAAATCCTGAATACAACATGACTGCTTCCTGACCATATGCGAATGAAAACGTGGTGTGCAGTGATAAGGTTCCGTCCTGACCGGTCTGTATAGTCATGCTTTCTGACACACGATAGACGTACGTCCATGTTGTGCAATAAGTCTCTCATTGTTTTTTATTGCCATAGAGTGATGCCTTCCCCAAACTTTTTACCCAATTTTTTAAATCAGCCTTGTAGAATGAAACTAGGGTGCCATTTTGTTTAGAAAGAACAGCTCTTCAAGCTGAGCTAAAATAAATAAGTAAATAAAAAATTCTGACAAGCTTGGTACACTATTTTTTCACGGTCATAAAAAGCTTATAAGCTTGGTACAATGTCCTCTTTGTAATGGTCAGGAAAAAGTTACAGAGTAAAATGCAACGACTGTACCTTTCTTTCAGAGGCTGCCATTTATCTCAGATATGTAAAACACACCAGCTGACCAGACTCCCACTTTTACTTTCATCTTGCACTATACACCGGTAATCAAGGCACCTGGTACCACCAGTGAAATAAATGACCGAGGAGCATGGGGACTGTGTGCACTGTGCAGCAGCTTTGCTCTCAGTATAGTTTCACTTCATCCAAGCCAAGAAGTGTGATATGGCTTTATAATTTTCGAGCCAACTGACGTAACACAAAGATAATCAAGTGTACCGCTAAATGTCAGTTTACAGAATCGATCCCAGCTGCAAGGTCTGGGCTTGCAGCGTCTCGGGTTGGAACTTCAGTGGGGGTGAAATGCAAAAAGTTATGTGATGGCACATTGATAAAAATTAACACAGTAGTCTTGCACACAGAAGAAAAAAAATGCAATGTTTTTGCATTGGCCATTATCGGAATGTGGTAGCTGTGATTCAAGCTAAAACAGAAAGCTTCCTCAGCTAGAACAAACTAAAATGTCAGCGAGCACCCGTTCTCCACCCATGTGAATGGGTTCCAGATCCACTACATGAGCGCGTGAACAGCTCATTGTCATTTCAAGCTTACATCATGTTGTCAAGTCGAAACAACCCGGATTTCTTTTCCCTTTTCTCCCATTCCATCCAGGTCTTCTTTTTTTAATTCTGTGCAGAAATGTTGGATTGTAGCGTTCAAAATGTAAGGAGTCAGTTTAGCAAGAATGCCATCACATGTGGCTGAAACCCAAGCAGATAAGGTTCCGTCCTGCCTCAGCAGCACATGGTTGATGCTACCTGTAGTATGTAGTGAGCTGGTGCTCTTTCCAGTTAGCCAAGTGGCACTTTGTCTTTTTGCACACTTTCCTTTCTTCAGGTATACACTACAATTAGTTCTAATAACATCCCCTATACTTTCCTTGACATGATTGCTTATTAGATCTCATTAAAAATGGTGTCTAAAAAGAAAACGAGCCCTTACACAAACACTTCTTTCTTTCATTCGTAGCAAGGGTCTCATTCTAGCAGACTTGGTGCCTTCAGGTCGTATACAAGAGATCATTGGTCATATGCCAGCTCATAATAAGTTCACTGTGCTACCTGATGCCAAACAGGCAGATAACGAGTAATCCACACTCACTGTCATGGCTACTAGTGATGCTGACTTACACTCCCATGTTTAATGCACATATATACCCCATAAAGTGGACGGGGGATAGCCGCCATGGTAGCTCAGTTGGTAGAGCATTGGATGCGTTATTCGAAGGTCGCAGGTTCAGCCCCTGCCCACGACAAGTGATCTTTTCGTCCACTTTTCTTTCTTTAGATATACATTACAATTACTTCTAATAACAATCCCTATACTTTTCTTGCCATGATCGCCTGTTAGATCCCATTAAAAACTGTTTTTATGACACAAAAAAGCTTTTCATGGTTTATGAAGTGGCTACATGCAAAATAAAAAGCCTTAGAACTCGAAGCTTATATCTTTCATGTCACATCTTTCAACCTATGAAAATTCAGTCTTTTATTTAATCCACGAGAATGATCAAGTCTTAGGTTCAATGTTGTGTAAGGGAAAAATATCAAATCCAACCACAGTAAGTAATCAGTAGCTTTGCCATCTAAGAAAACAATATCAAGAGAAGAAAGATGAACACATACCTTGAGTATCTTCCGTCGTATGTCCACCTCTTCTCCACCTTAGAATCTTCGAAAATTTGCAGCCGAAAATTGCCTGCAAGTTGTGTAAGTAGTTATACACGTTGGCTGCAGACAGACACAGCACGAGCTTTATGTGGCAGTGCTTGAATGATGGGTTATACACACTTTTAGACTGTCATTGAACAGAATGACAGCAAAAATTTATAGTCGTTAACACTGTTACATGGAAGCTGTAACCAGTACCACTGACATCCAAACAGAATTTTGATTTAAAGGGGCCCTGCAACGCTTTTCCATGTAGCCAGAGAATGGCTTTTCTACAGGAGCTTACTGCCTCACGAATTCACCGCCACAAAAACTTTCAGAATCTGTCCAGTACGAGCGCAGTTACAAAAATTAGTCACACGCAGCAATTGCATTCTCTCTTCTCTTGTTCCGACGAAAGCGCTGGAAGCTAAGCAGGGAAGGATTGAACGGGAGAAAAAACGACACATGTACCTCGTAACCTTCAACACTTTTGGATAGTTTTTTTTTTCTCTTCGTATGCTGGGTTTTTCAGATCAATCGCGCGTGAACGTGTGGACAAGTCGCGGCCTCCTGTGGCAGCCCTGGCATCGACCAAGCACGTCATGCTCAAATAAGCCAATGGCTGATACTTGGCCTGCGATGCAGTAATTTTTGAGCCTGTAGCGTCATTCGTCAAGAGAAGACAAAGCAATCTTTAATGACTTCGAGAGTTTACTGCACATTCCAGGCCATGTACTATACTATAATATTTGGCACATGTGTTCTCGGCAGCCTTGACTACCAGTCGGCAGCATTTTTTTACCATGCTCAAAAAGTGTTGCACGGCCCTTTCTAAGTGGGATTTATGAGGCCAGTTGAAACAACTCAATTGATTAGATGGCAGCACCTACATGTACTGCAAGTGCACCTTTGTCGCAATACTAATGACCATGAATTTCTGTGCCAAACAAATGGATGGCCTGTGTGGTCACCACTGATGACCAAAAAGGTAAGCGCGACTTTGATGCTTATATCACAGCAGTGATTGCAATGGCTGCAGCCTCTGTTTCACTCAAGAACAATCAGTGTGTTGAAAACAAGTGATCTTATTGCCACCTATAGTCATAGTCATCACCGCTGTCCCCGCAAGATAGCGAGATAGGAGGCTTTCAACAAGATTACGACGATGTACCCCTTAGAACCCATACATTAGACAAGTGTACTGCCCTATATTATACCAGTACCATATATTATGCCATATATTATACCAATTTCAAATCTTTGCAATTGCAGCCTATCTTATGGTTACATAATCGCAAGAACAGACAAACCTGGAAACAATAAAAAATTTGTAGACTATAAATATAGGCGATGTTTCGCTTTCTAGGATAACCACGATGTGTAATAGGATAACTTGCTAAATGTAAAAAGACTGACCTCTTCTCAAAGGCACGTTGCATTGCGGACAGGCCCCCGAACCTTTAACAAAGAGAAGCTCAACACAGTTCTCACAGAGTGCATGGCCACAGACATTGACCAGAAGTCGCAGTGAAGGGTTGCGATACTTTGTTGTCCGGCATCGTGGACATGCCAGATCATCCATAGCTGCAAGTGAAACAGTTCAAAACAGAATCAATGATACATTGTAGTGTCAAGAGAAAAGACGTACACAGTAAGCCATATAAAACTGATATGCATACAATGTTTTAGTTTAAACTTTCTAACATGGCATGTGGCAATTAGGACAATCAATTAAAGCACACTTCCCCTTTTTGCACAATGCATCTCACCAAACGTCCTGCTGAGGTATTTTTTTTTCATAGGTTGCACATGAATAGGCAGTTTCATTGGAGTAAAAACAAGAGGAAAAAGCCTCACAAGCTTTTGCCAGATTAACGCTGATAACAAGAACACAAAAATGTCAATGCTGCCATGCTACTCAAAAGGGTAGGTAATATTTTGCGATCTGTGACGTGACGGTGATTATGACGTAACTATGTGACGTTTTTTGCATCATTCGTCCCCGACGGCAAGGGACAGTGAAATTGCCCGTTTGATTGAGGTGTCTAGGGTTGTAGCCTTGAGAATTGTCTGGGTTAACATACCAAAACCATGCTATGATTATGACGGACGCCTTGGGGCAAGACTACTCGCACCAAAATCCTGCAAAATCGAAGTAAACGGGCCTCTAGCGTTTCCTCTCCATCGTGGTGCGCACCACGGCGGAGATTAAATCCCGCAACCTTCGGGGCAGTAATTGAGCACCATGATCACTATATGCCACCGTGGCACCCGCAGAAGAAAAGCTGTAACGCAGTGAAGTAACCATAATGTAAGCGAACATTCACCGTGGCATATGGACGTCAGACTATGGAGTCTTGTGGACATGCAGCGCCACCTGTCGACGCAGTTTTGGGTAAACCAAAGCCAATGGAGACTAAGGAGTCTTGGAGACTATGGAGACTATGGAGACTATGGAGACCAAAGCCTATGGAGACTATGGAGTCTTGTGGACATGCAGCGCCACCTGTCGACGCAGTTTTGGGTAAACCAAAGCCGGACTCCCTCGCACAGTTTGCTGCACAACCAGCTGCAACTACAGCGTATGAAACGATTGAGCTAAATATTAGGTGTTTTTGCATATTCAACACTTAGAAAAAGAGCTATGAATTTCTCTTCGCTGGTGGGCTGGGTCAACGAACCACCCTGAAGTGCTTGCTGGTTCACTGGCCTGAATGATGGTGAAAACAACAGCAGACGCAACAGCTCCGCGCTCTACGAAGAACCCAGTCGACGCTACTAATGCATTGTGAATTGCTACGGACGTAAAGGACTTCAGTTTTACTGATTTCCGCAGCTTTTGCGAAGTACAACGGCCAGAGCACTAGATACAGGTTGTTGCGAACGTGTTACGTGAGCGAGTTACTCACGTTCTTTACAGCCGTTCGCATGAAAAAGTGTGATAATGTAGGTCCCCTGTTATTGTTTTGAGTAGCTTTGATGGAGAACCGTGGTAACTTTGATTATCAAGCTTAACAGAGCTTCTGACTGCAGTGCGCGCCTCGCAGCTGTAGACAGGTGACACGTGCGATAAACATCGCACACGCCGTGGCCACCAACAATTTGAAGTTGCACAGCATTGCATCTGAGGGTTTTGAAGGCTCTGAGTTCTGGCTTTAACCAGGAAATGCAAACACGTACGTCACAAAGGTAAATCGCCAAATGACCACGACACCACAATCACTTTTTCTTGCCGTTGGGTCTCCGCGATTGCCAGAGCTATCCTATAGGCCTCGGTTTTGCCTTCTGTTGTACACCAAGAAAGTGGACACGCATGTATCCCCATTTGCAGTATATACAAACGAATGACAACCGTCAACAGAACATTCTAGCATGCGTAATAAAACAGGTCAACACACAGGAAGCTAGAAATCAATGGAGAATGCAGTTGAAAAGGCAAAAATCATTAGGGCTATTCGTGACGGATAAAGCGAGCTTCGTAATATTGATCGTAAGACTGATTGCTCGTGTTTGCACTTCATCGCTTTGGCATCATGTGTATGCCCAAGTTTAATGCATTTAGGCGTTACAGAATGAGCATCAGAGTGCTTGCCTCGAACTCTATGTCATGCGATGCTTGCTTGCACTTAATGTGCCAGTTGCAGTACACCGAAATAACTGAAACATATTTCGCATTGCATCCACAGTTCCTTTTGATGAACTCTCTACATTTCTGAAGCGAGGTTGGATTGAAGAAAGAAGCTTGCCAGGTCCTTGATTTACAAAAAAACGCACCTCAAAACTAACGAAAGAGGAGGGCCTATGCATGTTTGCTTGCGGACGGCTCGCTTTGCACAACCCATTTATGGCCGACGCGTTGATGGGAGCGCTGGTGGCAGCGTTTTTCGCAGCGCCGCCTGGGCAGAGTCTCACGTCTTTTGTGTAATAAACTGCGGGTGAACTTTCAGCGGGCTAAATATTTTTTGCGTTCTAGTAAGCACGTTCTTAAAAACGACGAATCAGCAGTTTTCTTTCTTCCTGTGCACATTTTTTACACATGTAGAGCAAACGTAGCTTTAAAATTCATGTGTGGATGGTGTTCTCAAGCTCAAGTTTGGTTTGGGATGTCTGGTGTTTTCAGCACATCGATGACAGAAGTGAATGCACGATGGTGCGTGCGGGCGTTTCGGCAAGCCAGAGTGCGCTTTTCATCAGGCAGTGTTAGTTTCGTAAGTCTTCATATAAGGCTGACCACAATTTTGTTTTGGAACATTCGATCTCTCATTTCTGTCATTCATCATCATCAGCCTGACTATGTCCACTGCAGGACAAAGGCCTCTCCCATGTTCCGCCAGTTAACCCGGTCCTGTGCTTGCTGCTGCCAATTTATGCCCGCAAACTTCTTAATCTCATCTGCCCACCTAATCTTCTGTCTCCCCCTAACCCGTTTGCCTTCTCTGGGAATCCAGTTAGTTACCCTTAATGACAAGCAGTTATCCTGTCTACGCGTTACATGCCCGGCCCATGTCCATTTCTTCTTCTTGATTTCAGCTATGATATTGTGACGATGGAACGCGTTTATTTACAAGATGGGCAATGCAGAGGTGTAGCTCAGCGAAGGATCCACAGCGTCGCTCGCGAGCCAGTCGAGTCTCTTCTTCCTCTTCGTCGAATCTTCGCTAGCGCGTTTCACTTCCCGGTTCGCAGACGATGCCCTCTGGGCGAGTCACTCAGATGGTTGATGGTGGCACAGTTTAAGGCGCGCAACGTGTGTCAGTTGTGTTTTGCTTGAGCGGTGACCATTGCTTGTGACGCTCGAGATTACGTACGTGACGTCGCTGAGGCGGTCAAGAATGACGAATGGACCGGAATAGTGAGCCAAGAACTTCTGGCACAAACCACGTTTGCGGACTGGTGTCCATAACCACACAAGATCCCCCTTACTATAAAATACGGAGCGATGGCAGGCGTCGTAACGTTTCTTAGAACGCTGCTGGGATGCCAAGGTTCGGAGGCGTGCGAGGCGACGGGCTTCTTTTGCGCAGCAGAGCGTCTCGGCTGTCGAGGTTTCCACGTCTAGTGTAAAAGGTAGTATAGTGTCGAGACAAAATCGTGGGGAGCGAGCGTACAGCAGGTAAAATGGAGAGTAACCTGTAGTCTCATGCTTCGCGGTATTGTACGCGTACGTGACGTAAGGTAGCACTTCGTCCCAGTTTTTGTGCTTAGAATCGACATAAATAGACAGCATGTTCGTGAGAGTCCGCTTCGTGCGCTCTACGAGACCATTGGTCTGCGGGTGATATGGTGTGGCATGGCGGAAATGGCAGGCAGACAGACACAGGATCCCTTCAACGACGTCGGCAACGAACTGACGTCCGTGGTCGCTAATGACAACGCGTGGAGGACCATGGCGGAGAATTATACAGCGAAGCATAAACTGCGACACGTGCATGGCCGTTGCAGCAGGTATTGCAGCAGTTTCTGCGTAGCGCGATAGGTGGTCAACACAGACGACGACCCATCGATTGTTACTGCTCGATCGTGGAAATGGACCGAGCAGATCGACACCAACAGTCTCGAAGGGAGAGTTAGGAGGTGGAACAGGATGGAGAAGTCCTGGCGGCGTAGCCGTGGGACGTTTGTGTCGTTGGCATTGTTCGCATCCAGCAACGTATTTTTCCGTGTCGTGTCGCATCTTGGGCCAATAGAACCTTTGCTGGATTCGTTGAAGCGTTCTGGCGAAGCCCATGTGGCCGCAGGTTGCGTCGTCGTGTAAGGACCGAAAGACGTGAGCCTGTAAAGTGCATGGAACAACTAGAAGCAGACGGGCGCCTTGTCCGGAATAATTCTTCTTGTAAAGGACGCCGCCATGAACCCCAAAAGAGCTTGGGTTTGCGTGTTCATTTGCAGAGGCGAACAGAGAATCTAAGGAGCGGTCCTCTTGTTAGGCTGTCCGGAAAGTCGCGAGATCAGGGAACTCAGTGGCAATAGCGCCGATATACTGGTCGAAGTTGTCAGCATCGCACTTCGTCCTCGGTAGAGGAAGGCGCGATAGGCAGTCGGCGTCTGCGTGCCAGTTACCGCTCTTGTAGCGTACTGTGAAGTCGAACTCCTGTAAGCGCAAAGCCCATCGCGCCAGTCGTCCAGATGGGTCTCGGAGGCCTACCAACCAGCATAGAGAATAATGGTCGGTGATTACCGAGAAGCGACGGCCGTAGATGTTTGGGCGAAACTTGTGCACAGCGAAAACGACTGCGAGGCACTCCTGTTCTGTGACTGTGTAATTTCGTTCTGCCTTGCTCAATGAACGACTCGCGTAAGCGACCACGTGTTCAGCACTGTCATGGCGCTGAACGAGCACTACACCAAGGCCGATTCCACTGGCATCTGTGTGAATTTCCGTTTCAGCAGAAGGATCGAAATGGCGTAGTACCGGTCCTGAAGTCAGTATGAACCGAAGCTGCTTAAAGGCTGCTTCGCAATCCGGTGTCCAGTGGAAAGGGACATCCTTTTGCAGCAAGTCAGTCAGTGGTTGTGCTTTATCAGCGAAATTCGGAACAAATCGACGAAAGTAAGAACATAGGCCCAGGAAGCTACGTTCTCCC